TGAAGTGCAGAGTACCACAATGAAGGTGCAGCTGAAGAGTTGCAAGAATTTTGGTGTCTTCAGTCCCCAAAAGTTTATTAAAGTCCCAGGGAACACAAAGTAAAAAGATTAAAAATATTTATATGATACTAAACTTGAGTGTTATATTGAACATCCAGACAAGCTTGAATGAACAATGTAAGATATAAATATTAAAAAACACAGCTTAAAAATGGCTGATCAAACTAAATCTAAGAACTGTGTGGGTGTGGCTAAAGAGCAGCTTGATTGACAGCTCTCTGTCTAACACTCCTAGGCTGCTCTGCCCCTCATACAGAGCTAAAATCATTGTCTAGCTTTTATGTGACGCTAACTGAACATAAAAAGTCACGGATGAACAGATGGACAGACAAGCGAACAAATGGATTGACGGAGGGATGAAGGAACATGCAAAGGAACAGATGAACACACAATGTTGGTGTATGGATAATTGAATGAACGGGCGACAGGCATCTACAGACAGGTGGTCTAGCTGTGGTTATGCGGGCTTAGCTTTAGCTCGCTAAGTTTCTCTTAAACTGTTTTGTGTGGGTGGGGCATGAGACGCCAGTCCTGTGATTGGTCAGAGGAATTCTTACAGAATCGTTAGCCAAGATTAGGACCGCCCAGTTTACATTGAGATGAGAGAAATATGGTGAAATATATCGGCCATTGATGGGTCACTGGAATATTATTCAAAGGGGGTACTTTTTGACAAGTTTACTGCTTGCATGCAAGAACAAGATTAACACAAATTAGAAAGAAAACACAGTTTTAAGTGCTGTTAAACGTAAAGGTGATGTTACACAGTGGTAAACAGGGTCCATCCCAACTTATTTGGAATGTCAAGTTCATCAGGTAAAATGTGAAATATCACTTTTTTAATCAGGTCAAAATGAACATACTAATAATCAATTCAGTTTTTATTAGCATTTCACATATTGTCTCAAAAAAAAACTTATTCACTCTTTTTTTTTGACAGTTTATGCTTATGTTTTACTGTTACTTATACAATAGTTAGTTCCGGCCATGCAACCTGATTGGTTGAGAAGCGTTCTAACTGTGCTGTTATTTGTCATTTTTTTCACAAACACTGTATCACTCTGCTGAGACGCTGTTGCTAAGCAACGACTTTGACAGCTGTAGGAGCCATTTGAACGTTTTTACTTCTTACTGTGCCACAAACAGAAAATCGATACTTTTAAGATCACATTTGACCGACAGCCGATTTGGTCAATTCAGTTTAGTGTAGATGACTGTCATCACCACTGAGCAGCTTTTCAGTCGGCAGCTGTGACAGAAGTACAGATAAACAACCTGGAATCAGCCAGAAATGAACCCAACACCATTCGCCAAACTAAATGGGCTGTAAGATGCTTTACAGACTGGCTGGAACAAAACAACATTAATACTGATCTGGCAAAAACTGACTAAACTGAGCTAAACCTGATATTGCGGCAGTTTTATGGCTCAATCTGTTTGGTCAGTCTCTGAAGATCAGACTACACGTTTGGTGAATGGTATTGAGTTCATTTCTGGCTAATTCCAGGTTGTTTAGCTGTTCTTCTGTCACAGATGCCGACTGAAAAGCTTGCTCAGTGGTGATGACAGTTTCAGTATTTAGTGTAAGGAGCTGGAGAACTCTCAAGGTCGTGTGTTATCATGAATAACATCACGGCTATGATAATCTACAGCACTCGGCTTTGGGTCGTGCCTGCGACCAAATCACAGCCGTGATGTTATTTCATGATAACATGCTCCCTCTCATGTTTTATTTATTGCTTAATTCTATTGTGTCTTAAGGAAACAAGTTAAGTACTTTCTACGCCACTGAACATTTCCATATAAGTAATTTTATTATTATTGTTTTTTTATTAAGAGAAAGGTGCAACGTGTTATACCAGCATTGTCAAAAACAACTTTTCGACCCACATTCAAGTCCTTCATCAGTGTGTTGCCTTCACCTCCCAATATTACCCCCCCTCTCCGCTTGGCACACAACATTTGCATGCCCGAGCAGATGGCCTACAGCAGGGGTGCCCCTTTATGGTCCTGGAGATCTACCACCCTGTGAAATTCAGATCCAGCACACCTGGCTCTCATGTTCAGAAGCTCTTGCAGGCCTTCCTTGCCTGTTATATTAGAGTTAAAGCTAAACTCTGCAAGGGTGGTAGAGCTCCAGGACTAGGATCGGGCACACCTGGCCTACAGTTATTACACCAGCAAGGTTTCTAATACCGTGGCTCACAAGTGTAGTACTCATGTTTTTAGCATGTCCTAGTAAACTGAATGTAGAGCTTTTCTCTAGTTAACCTTTTTAAAATATCTTTTAATTCATGTTTACTGATAGTTGCTTGTAACTGCCATGCAAATTTACCCCCTTGTTTTCAAATAAAGCAGACCTGCTGTTAGATATGGATCAATCTGTGCTCATGTTATTGTGTAATGAAGAAACTGACTTCAGCAATTTTAGCCCTGTTTTGTCTCCTTGCTTAACCCAGGCAGTGAAACTACACAGCCTGGTGTGCTGTTAGTGAGGACTGACTGTATTCCACTTCATGTGAAGCCCATCCTGATGAAGGGGTGAATCTTCATCCGGGTAAGCAAAATGTATCCACTGATTGTATTAATCACACAAGATTTATTAGTTGTACATATATTATGCTATTGATGGTCACTTGGTATTTATTGTCATTATACTTATTCACAGTATTGTTCACACAGTCTTGTCTTTCTGGGACTACATGCGTGGGTTAAACACTGTGTCCACTCACTGTCCACTCTATTAGACACTCCTACCTTGTCAGTCCACCTTGTAGATGTAAAGTCAGAGACGATAGCTCATCTGCTGCTGCACAGTTTGTGTTAGTCATCCTCTAGTCCTTCATCAGGGGTCACTGGACGCTGCCCACAGGACGCTGTTGGCTGGATGTTTTTGGTTGGTGGACTATTCTCAGTCCAGCAGTGACACTGAGGTGTTTAAAAACTCCAGCAGCACTGCTGTGTCTGATCCACTCGTACCAGCGCAACACACACTAACACACCACCACGTCAGTGTTACTGCAGTGCTGAGAATGACCCACCACCCAAATAGTACCTGCTCTGTGAGGGTCCATGGGGGTCCTGACCACTGAAGAACAGGGTAAAAGGGGGCTAACAAAGTATGCAGAGAAACAGATGGACTACAGTCTGTAACTGTAGAACTACAAAGTGCACCTATATAGTAAGTGGAGCTGATGAAATGGACAATGAGCCTTTTACATAATATTAACATGACCATGCCATAAACATGTCATGGCAGATGTCATATGCTGTTATGAGCTGTCATGACAGATTATGTTCAGTCATGTAACAGTGTTGTGTTACCATTACCGTCATACAGCATACATTAATGTGACATAAGCTGCCATGTCGTCAAACATTATAGCATCTGTCATGACAATTACTGGTAACGGTAACATGACACTGATCGGTCATGATAACTTATTACAGCACATGACATCTGCTATGATATGTTTATAGCAAGGTTATCTCATTGTTATGTAACAGGGTTCAAGTAGAGTCAATATTTTTCACAGAACTTTATCAAAACAGGAACAAAATCACTCTTCACTTCCATTTTAAACCGTTAACCTTTATTTCAATGTGTTTAACTTATAAATGAAATATTTATTGATCAAATACGACAGTAATTGGTGTTCTTGCTATTTTAATGTACAAAAAAACAGCCGGCTAAAACAGCCGAATAGTCTCCGACAGTACTTTGCAAAAGTTGGAGGCTACCCTTCATTTATTTAACTTCATCAGTTTCAGAAAACACACCTATTCAACAGAAAATCACCCAGAAGCCTCAACAACTAAATATGTCTTACCTTCATAACAGCTTCCATTCTTTTCAGGAGACTCACTTTCAGTTTTCTAAAGAAATCTGCAGGGATATTTTCCCCACCTGCAAAGTTCAGTCTTAGAAGTTTGTTGGCTGCTTTGAACAAACAAAAATGAAAGACGTCTAATCCTTAAATCTATGAAAATTAATCATGTTAAGAAAAAATAATGTTGACCACTAAAGTTTTTATTTGAGCTTCTGTTCCTGTTTTCAGTGACAGTGAAAAATATTGTATTTGTTTTTTCTTTCTTTTTTTGTTGTTTACTGTTTCATCCATGGTTTATGGCAGGGGTTGGCCATTTTGACCACTCAACAAAAATCAAACCACCTTGGGAGCCACGTTTTATGTCCACTTTATTGAAAAAATGTTTTACTATCTTGGCTGTAAATATATTTTAATATGAGCTAGCTAATTTTTTTGCTCTGCTTTAAGCTGTAGCTCAGCTATAGTTGCTTTTCTCGCATCTCCGGCAGGAAAATTTTCCTCAAAAATGGAACAGTTTCTTGTAAAATGTCTCTCAACATTTGATTTTTAATGAGGCTGAAGTCGCTTCTCATTCACCAGCTTCTTGTTTGAATTTTCACGTTCCACCTTAAATGGTGCCTGAGGTGCCAGAATGCAACTGCTGCACCAGTTAAGGTGGAACGGGAAAATTCGAGCAGGAAGCTGGTGAATGAGAAGTGACTTCAGCCTCATGACTTTTTAGTGTTTGACAGTTTCCTGTTGCAGATTAAACATATCAGGAAACCAGTTGGAGTGATTATAAACGCAAATAAGTCCATTTGTCTCCAAATTATCAATGTTTGCTTTAAATCTCTCTCTTTGTGGTTTATTAGCTACTTGCTAGGTGAGATTCTTGTCTGTGTTGCTATGGTGACCAGCAGTCTGTGCGCCAGCCTTCAGGGTTAAAGGGTGAATTAGAAGTTCTACATTAACTCCAGCGTTTGAGACAATTTATTGATAAAACTGTGTTGAACGATCAGCAGAGCTTTATTTTACTGTGAAAGAGGATTATTTCATTTTTATCTACAAATAAAAATAGTAAAAAAAATTACTCCAGAGCCACATGTTGCCAATCCCTGTTGTATGGTAATAATGACCTGTGAATACATGAAACATACTGTTTGTTATGTGTTGACATTAGAACTCTTTGAAATTTGGATTCAGTTGACAGTCATGTTTTCCATCCTGCTGTTTTCAGGTAAGCATGCAATTCCTTAAAAATGTCTTTATCTCTTGTTTGTAGTCACTTATTCAGAGCATGAAAACACAAGTTATACACATCAAGATCACACTGTAAGTAAACATTTCAAATCGGATCCCAGGTTTCTGCCTGCTGCCGTTTTGCCTGCCTCGTCAGTATCACTTCGTGAGGGAGTCTAGGAGCTGGGCCGAGGCTCAGAGCTTCTGCAGATTCACATACACTGACCTGGCCACTGTAGACAACATGACAGACATGAGCAGGCTGCTGGAGTCCGTCGACGGCACTTACAACGGCTCTGCATGGATTGGACTGTATGATGACCCAAAGAACAGCTGGAGATGGTCTCTGGAGGGCCCTCAGTTCTACAAGGAGGGAGAAAAAGACTTCAGGAACTGGGTCACAACTCTAGCAGATGTTTCAAGAAGAGAGCCTGTTTGTGTGATATTTGATCGTGGCATATGGCACCTCTATCCCTGTGAAACTCTGCTCTCATTTGTTTGCTTTGATGGTGAGCAACTCAAGTTTCTCTATAAAGAATTGGTACATTTACTTGACAAATTTTAGCATTGGGAGCTTAGTGACTTCAAACGTGTCACTATCAGATGATCCCACCTTTGCCAGTTAGTAAGACATTTCTGACTTGCTAGATCTGCCCTAGACAACTGTAAGTGCTACTGAAGAGGTAGAGCATGAAAACTCAAAGAGCTGTGCCGCCAAGTGCTGAAAATCCTCTGTTTGGAGTTCCAAACTGCCTCTGGAAGCAACATCAGCACAAAAACTGTGTGTCGGGGGCTTCATGAAATGGGTTTTCAATGGCTGAGCAGCTGCACACAAGCCTAAGATGACTATATGCAATGCCAAGCATTGTTGTGAACTAGAAGTTGATTGTCTTAGTAGGCGAGCAAGCAGATGTTTTTATCTCAGCACAGTTGTCTTTGTGGAAAGGTGGCAATAGTTTTCACAGTAGGAGGTTCCCACCTTTCCAGTTTCACCTGCATTGCTCGCAAGCAACTTAACAGAGTTGTTTCACTTAGAGAACCAACAGTGTCCTAGTTAATTTGATTACACAGTTATGAGGAAAAAAGGTTTTATTAGATTAAGTTAATTACATTTCCATTCCACCAGGGGAAAGGCCACTATAGAGGACGTGTAGGAGGCTACTGCAGTATTTACCAGAAAAAACTTAGCAAAATCACAAGAGAAAAAGCCGTCACAGCATTTAGCTTCTGATTGTAGGGTTTAATTACACCTAGCATGACCATTGTGTTCAAAAACAATACAAATGAGTATGAGTGAAACAAGCATAGCACTGTTGCTGTAGTTGTTGCTGTACAAACTTGTAGAAATATAAATTCATAAAAAAATAGACCTGTATCTGATATGAATTAACACTTTTCTCTTTACACCAGGAAGAGAAAATGCCACTGAGAGTTTGGTTCTGATATCTGAATTTAAAAACTGGACGGAAGCCCAACGGTACTGTAGAGAGCATCACACAGATCTGGCCAGCATCAGGAACCAAAAGGAGAATGGCAGAATTGCCAGCATAGTGGGACTGAAAGTGCAGCTGAGTTTTGTCTGGATTGGGCTGTACAGGACCAGAATATGGTCCGACCAGAGTAACTCATCTTTCAGATATTGGAAAGCAGAAGAACCAAATGTGAACTTGGAACATTTGAGTCCATCCTGTGCTACTGTGTCCTTTGGAGATTCAGGCAGATGGATTGAAGAAAGCTGCAACATCACACTCCCCTTCATCTGCCACATGGGTGAGCTTTTAGTTGGTTAATAGCATTAGCATTAAATTAGCATTAAATATATTGATCTACTTCAGACATCCTAACAGATACACCTACTGTATACAGATGGGTAACAAAATAAAGGAAAAACCAACCTAAAGTGTCTCAATAAGGTGTTGGGCCACTAGAACTGTACTGGAGGGATGGAACACCGTTCTTCCAAAAAAAAAATTAATTTCTGTTTTGATGGTGGAGGTGGAGAGCAATGATTAACATGCTGGCCCTACTATCATATCCCTCTCTATGTAGTCACGGGTGGGCTGTGCATGGGATACTATGGCAATGGCCTAGCAACTCCTTAGCAACTGCCTGGGATTCCATAGAAATGTCCTAGCAACACCTTAGCAACCACTTGGTGTACCATAGCAACAGCCTGGTGACATCTTAGCAACCACCTGGGATAATATAGCAACAGACTGGCAACACTTTAGCAAACAGCTGGGATACCATAGCAACAGCCTGGCAACATCTTAGCAAAAACCTAGGATACCGTAGCAACAGCCTAGCAACATCTTAACAACCACCCGGGATACCATTGGAACAGCCTGCCAACATCTTCACAATCACCTGGGAGAACATAGCAACGTCCTAGCAATCTCCTGGGATACCATAGGAAGAGCCTGGCAATAGCTTAGCAACCACCTGAGATACCATAGCAACAGCCTGGCAACATCTTAGCAACCACCTGACAAGCCATGGCAACAGCTTGGCAACACTTTTCCAACCACCTGGGACACCATAGCAACAGCCTGACAACATCTTTGCAACCACCTAGGATATTACAGCAACAGCCTGGCAACATCTTAGCAACCACCTGGGATAACATAGCAACACCTTACCAACCACCTGGGATACCATAGTAACAGCCTAGCAACATCTTAGCAAACACCTCGGATAACATAGCGACACCTTAGCAACCACCTGGGATACCATAGTAACAACCTAGAAACATCTTAGCAAACACCCAGGATAACATAGAAACACCTTGGCAACCACCTGGGATACCATAGTAACAGCCTAGCAACATCTTAGCAAACATTTGGGATGCCATAGGAACAGACTGGCAAGATCTTAGCAACCACCTGGGATACCATAGCAAGAGCCTGGCAACATCTTAGCAACCATCTGGGATAACATAGTAACACCTTAGCAACCACATGGGATACTATAGCAACAGCTTGGCAACATCTTAGCAACCACTTGGGATACCATAGGAACAGCCAGGCAACACCTTAGCAACCATCTGAGATACCATAGGAACAGCCTGGCAACATCTTACCAACCACCTGGGACAACATAGCAACATCCTAGCAATATCTTAGCAACACCTTAGCAACCACCTGGGACAACATAGCAACATCCTAGTAACCACCTGGGATACCATAGGAACAGCCTGACAACATCTTTGCAACCACCTGGGATACCATAGGAACAGCCTGACAACATCTTCGCAACCACATAGGATACCATAGGAACAGCCTGACAACATAGCAACACCTTAGTAACTATCTCAAAGCATCTGCACACATTATGTGCACAGTGTCTTGACTTACGTATTCATGTTTTTCTTTTAATATGTCACCTGTCTGGAGGCACACGTTGTAAGTTTGCTCTCACTTGTATACAGTGTCAAAGTTCTTAATAATATAAGACTGATGTTCTTGCCACATAACATCAAACAAATCTCACTCTCATTGTTCTCCCTAGCTTCGCCTGTCTCCCCTCGTCAGTATCACTTCGTGAGGGAGTCTAAGAGCTGGGCCGAGGCTCAAAGCTACTGCAGAAACATCTACACTGACCTGGCCACTGTTGACAACATGAGGGACATGAGCAGGCTGCTGGGGTCCGTCAACGGCACTTATGGCGGCTCTGCCTGGATCGGACTGTACGATGACCCAAAGAACAGCTGGAAATGGTCTCTGGAGGACCCTCAGTTCTACAAGGAAGGGGAAAAAGACTTCAGGAGATGGTTTGAGTATCCTCTGAATGAACGTGGAAATGATTTTTGTGCGCTGATGTTGTTCAACACTCAACCAACATATGAGGAAAGATGGGTTGACCGATCTTGCATGGAAGAACGTCAGTTCATTTGCTATAAGGGTAAGTAAACTTATGAATGCATTTATGTGGCAAGTTTAACTTTTTTGCTCACAGAAGTCTGATTTTCTAATTGTAGAGAGCAATAATACCACTGGGACCTACGTTCCAATAGCCGAGTCTAAAACATGGATGGATGCTCAGAGTTACTGCAGGGAACACTATGTAGACCTGGCCAGTGTAAGGAACCAAGAGGAGAATCTGGAGATTTTCACGGAAACACGCAGAAGCTTTGAAATCCAGTTTTTGGACGGAGTTTGGGGAGTTTGGATTGGACTGTACAGGACCAGAACGTGGTCTGACAACAGCAACTCATCATTCACTTACTGGAGAAAAGGAGAGCCTGATGATGGAAAAAATTCTATGTTTGAGAACCTGGATCAGCACTGCACAGCAGTGTCCTTGAATGACTATGGACAGTGGACAGATGAGAACTGTTTGACCGCTCTCCCTTTCGTCTGCTACAGCTGTAAGTCCTGATAAACATTTTATCTTATGAACATAATACTTTAGGTAACTTTGTGCAAAATCTTGTGAATATCATTTGGTGAGAGACAGGATCATGTACCATTTTACAAATGTTCTTTAAATACATCTTGGAAATGAGCGGGTGTCGCACCTGAAAAAAGTGAAATAATTTGAAGGGCATATTTTAAGATGTTTGTGTATTAGATGGGTGACACCACGGTGAGTGGAGACATCAAGCACTGTAGTTTCCAGTAATTATAACTAGAGACTTTGGTTTTTTTTGAGACCATGATTGGCCTGAGGCCTATGACAGTCTGATGATATATGTAATGAAACAAACAGTTCTATTGGCTGTTGTTTATTTATTTATTTATTTACAACATCTAAAAAGTTAATAACTAACATCAGAAGGAAAGTAATACCCAGGACTGCTTTTCTTTATGTTTTTACAACAAATTTCACAACTCAATCCTCCACGGCAGTGAATTCCACAAATGAACCCTCTACAGCAGTGAAGTCCACAACTCAACCCTCCATGGCAGTGGATTCTATAACTGAACCCTTCGCAGCAGTGAATTCTACGTTTCAACCGACAACAGCAGCAAATTTCTCAACGCAACCCTCTACAGCAGTGAATTCCACAGCTCGACCCTCTACAGCAGTGAATTCCACAGCTCAACCCTCTACAGCAGTGAATTCCACAGCTCGACCCTCTACAGCAGTGAATTCCACAGTTCAACCCTCTACAGCAGTGAATTCCACAGCTCGACCCTCCACAGCAGTGAATTCCACAGCTCGACCCTCTACAGCAGTGAATTCCACAGTTCCACCCTTTACAGCAGTGAATTCCACAGTTCAACCCTCTACAGCAGTGAATTCCACAACACGACCTTCCATGGTGGTGAATTCCACAGCTCAACCCTCTACAGCAGTGAATTCCACAGTTCCACCCTTTACTGCAGTGAATTCCACAGTTCAACCCTCTACAGCAGTGAATTCCACAACACGACCTTCCATGGTGGTGAATTCCACAGCTCAACCCTCTACAGCAGTGAATTCCACAGTTCAACTCTCTACAGCAGTGAATTCCACAGCTCAACCCTCTACAGCAGTGAATTCCACAACACGACCTTCCATGGTGGTGAATTCCACAGCTCAACCCTCTACAGCAGAGAATTCCACAGCTCAACCCTCTACAGCAGTGAATTCCACAGCTCAACCCTCTACAGCAGTGAATTCCACAACACGACCTTCCATGGTGGTGAATTCCACAGATCAACCCTCTACAGCAGTGAATTCCACAACACGACCTTCCATGGTGGTGAATTCCACAGCTCAACCCTCTACAGCAGTGAATTCCACAGTTCCACCCTTTACAGCAGTGAATTCCACAGTTCCACCCTCTACAGCAGTGAATTCCACAACACGACCTTCCATGGTGGTGAATTCCACAGATCAACCCTCTACAGCAGTGAATTCCACAACACGACCTTCCATGGTGGTGAATTCCACAGCTCAACCCTCTACAGCAGAGAATTCCACAGCTCAACCCTCTACAGCAGTGAATTCCACAGATCAACCCTCTGCAGCAGTGAATTCCACAGCTCAACCCTCTATAGCAGTGAATTCCACAGTTCAACCCTCTGCAGCAGTGAATTCCACAGTTCCACCCTTTACAGCAGTGAATTCCACAGCTCAACCATCTACAGCAGTGAATTCCACAGTTCAACCATCTACAGCAGTGAATTCCACAGTTCAACTCTCTACAGCAATGAATTCCACAGATCAACCCTCTGCAGCAGTGAATTCCACAGCTCAACCCTCTACAGCAGTGAATTCCACAGTTCAACCCTCCACAGCAGTGAATTCCACAGTTCAACCCTCTACAGCAGTGAATTCCACAGATCAACCCTCTGCAGCAGTGAATTCCACAGCTCAACCCTCTGCAGCAGTGAATTCCACAGCTCAACCCTCTACAGCAGTGAATTCCAGTTCCACCCTTTACAGCAGTGAATCCACAGCTCACCCTCTACAGCAGTGAATTCCACAGCTCAACCCTCTACAGCAGTGAATTCCACAGTTCCACCCTTTACAGCAGTGAATTCCACAGCTCAACCATCTACAGCAGTGAATTCCACAGCTCAACCCTCTACAGCAGTGAATGCCACAGTTCCACTCTTTACAGCAGTGAATTCCACAGCTCAACTCTCTACAGCAGTGAATGCCACATACGAACCCTCCACAGCAGTGAATTCCACAACTCAACCTTCCATGGCAGTGGATTCTATAACTGAACCATTTGCAGCAGTGAATTCTACATTTCAACCGACCACAGCAGCAAATTTCTCAACGCAACCCTCCACAGCAGTGAATTCCACAGATGGACCCTCCACAGCAGTGAATTCCACAGCTGGACCCTCCACAGCAGTGAATTCCACATCTCAACCCTCTACAGCAGTAAATTCCACATCTCAACCCTCTACAGCAGTGAATTCCACAGCTCAACCCTCTACAGCAGTGAATTACACAGCTCAACCCTCTACAGCAGTGAATTCCACAACACCACCATCCATGGTGGTGAATTCCACAGCTCAACCCTCTACAGCAGTGAATTCCACATCTCAACCCTCTACAGCAGTGAATTCCACAGCTCAACCCTCTACAGCAGTGAATTCCACAGCTCAACCATCTACAGCAGTGAATTCCACAGTTCCACCCTTTACAGCAGTGAATTCCACAGTTCAACCCTCTGCAGCAGTGAATTCCACAGCTCAACCCTCTACAGCAGTGAATTCCACAGTTCCACCCTTTACAGCAGTGAATTCCACAGCTCAACCCTCTGCAGCAGTGAATTCCACAGTTCCACCCTTTACAGCAGTGAATTCCACAGTTCAACCCTCTGCAGCAGTGAATTCTACAACACGACCTTCCATGGTGATGAATTCCACAGCTCAACCCTCTACAGCAGTGAATTCCACAGTTCCAACCTTTACAGCAGAGAATTCCACAGTTCAACCCTCTGCAGCAGTGAATTCTACAGATCAACCCTCTGCAGCAGTGAATTCCACAGATCAACCCTCTGCAGCAGTGAATTCTACAACACGACCTTCCATGGTGATGAATTCCACAGCTCAACCCTCTACAGCAGTGAATTTCACAGTTCAACCATCTACAGCAGTGAATTCCACAGCTCAACCCTCTACAGCAGTGAATTCCACAGTTCAACCCTCTACAGCAGTGAATTCCACAGTTCAACCCTCTACAGCAATGAATTCCACAGCTGAACCCTCTGCAGCAGTGAATTCCACAGTTCCACTCTTTACAGCAGTGAATTCCACAGCTCAACCCTCTGCAGCAGTGAATTCCACAGTTCCACCATCTACAGCAGTGAATTCCACAGCTCAACCATCTACAGCAGTGAATTCCACAGTTCAACCCTCTACAGCAGTGAATTCCACAGCTCAACCCTCTGCAGCAGTGAATTCCACAGCTCAACCCTCTACAGCAGTGAATGCCACAGTTCCACCTTTTACAGCAGTGAATGCCACAGTTCCACCCTTTACAGCAGTGAATTCCACAGTTCCACCCTTTACAGCAGTGAATTCCACAGCTCAACCCTCTGCAGCAGTGAATTCCACAGTTCCACCTCTACAGCAGTGAATTCCACAGCTCAAGCCTCTACAGCAGTGAATTCCACAGCTCAATCCTCTACAGCAGTGAATTCCACAGCTCAAGCCTCTGCAGCAATGAATTCCACAGCTCAACCCTCTACAGCAGTGAATGCCACAGTTCCACCCTTTACAGCAGTGAATGCCACAGTTCAACCCTTTACAGCAGTGAATTCCACAGCTCCACCCTTTACAGCAGTGAATTCCACAGCTCACCCCTCTACAGCAGTGAATTCCACAGTTCCACACTTTACAGTAGTGAATTCCACAGTTCCACCCTATACAGCAGTGAATTCCACAGCTCAACCCTCTACAGCAGTAAATTCCACAGTTCCACCTTCTACAGCAGGGAATGCCACAGCTCAATCCTCTACAGCAGTGAATTCCACAGCTCAATCCTCTGCAGCAGTGAATTCCACAGCTCAAGCCTCTACAGCAGTCAGTTACACAGCTCCACCCGTCCACAACAATAAATTATACTGCTCAACCCTCCACTGCAGTAAATTCCACAGCTCAACCCTCTATGGCAATGAATGACACAGCTCAACCCTCCACAGTGATGACTTCTACAGCTCAGTCCTCCAAAGTGAATTCCACAACTCAGCCCTCCACTGCATTGAATTCCATATCTCAACACTCCACAGCTGTGAATTTTACAGCTCAACTTTCCACACTGAATTCCACAGTTCAACTCTCTACAGAAGTGAATTCCACAACTCAAACTTCCATGGCAGTAAATTCTACAGGTCAATCCTCAACAGCAATGAATGCTACAGCTCAGTTCTCCACAGTGAATAATGCAACTCAATCCTCCACAGCAGTGAATTCCTTATCTCAACACTTTACTACAGTACAGTCCACAACTCAGCCCTCTGCAACAGTAAATTCCACATCTCAATCCTCAACAGTGAATTCCACAATGCAACTCTTCACAGCAGTAAATTCCACAGCTCAATTCTTCCCAGCTTTGAATTTCATGACTGAACCTTCCACAGCGAATACCATAACTCAGTCGTCCACAGCATTGAATTTTACAATTCAAGCCTCTACCACAGTGAACTCCACGACCCAATCCCCCAAGGCATTGAATTTCACAACACAACTCTTCACGGCAGTTAATTACACAGCTCAACCCTCTACAGCAGTGAATTCTACAGTTCAACCTTCCACAGCAGTGAATTCCACAGCTCACCCATCTACAGCAGTGAGTTCCACAGCTCACCCATCTATAGCAGTGAGTTCCACAGCTCACCCATCTACAGCAGTGACTTCCACAGCTCAACCCTCTACAGCAGTGAATTCCACAGCTCAACCCTCTACAGCAGTGAATTCCACAGCACGACCTTCCATGGTGGTGAATTCCACAGCTAAACCCTCAACACTGGTGAATTCCACAGTTCCACCCTTTACAGCAGTGAATTCCACAGTTACACCCTCTACAGCAGTGAATTCCACAGCTCAACCATCTACAGCAGTGAATTCCACAACACGACCTTCCATGGTGGTGAATTCCACAGCTCAATCCTCTACAGCAGTGAATTCCACAACACGACCTTCCATGGTGGTGAATTCCACAGCTAAACCCTCAACACCGGTGAATTCCACAGTTCCACCCTTTACAGCAGTGAATTCCACAGTTACACCCTCTACAGCAGTGAATTCCACAGCTCAACCATCTACAGCAGTGAATTCCACAGTTCAACCCTCTACAGCAGTGAATTCCACAGCTCAACCATCTACAGCAGTGAGTTCCACAGCTCAACCATCTACAGCAGTGAATTCCACAGCTCAACCCTCTACAGCAGTGAATTCCACAGCTCAACCCTCTACAGCAGTGAATTCCACAACACCACCTTCCATGGTGGTGAATTCCACAGCTCAACCCTCTACAGCAGTGAATGCCACAGTTCCACCCTTTACAGCAGTGAATTCGACAGCTCAACCCTCTACAGCAGTGAATGCCACAGTTCCACCCTTTACAGCAGTGAATTCGACAGCTCAACCCTCTACAGCAGTGAATGCCACAGTTCCACCCTTTACAGCAGTGAATTCGACAGCTCAACCCTCTACAACAGAGAATTCCACAGCTAAACCCTCAAGACCGGTGAATTCCACAGTTACACCCTTTACAGCAGTGAATTCCACAGTTACACCCTCTACAGCAGTGAATTCCACAGCTCAACCATCTACAGCACTGAATTCCACAGTTCAACCCTCTACAGCAGTGAGTTCCACATTTCAACCCTCTACAGCAGTGAATGCCACAACACCACCTTCCATGGTGGTGAATTCCACAGCTCAACCATCTACAGCAGTGAGTTCCACAGCTCAACCCTCTACAGCAGTGAATTCCACATTTCAACCCTCTGCAGCAGTGAATGCCACAACACCACCTTCCATGGTGGTGAATTCCACAGCTCAACCCTCTACAGCAGTGAATGCCACAATTCCACCCTTTACAGCAGAGAATTTCCACAGCTAAACCCTCAACACTGGTGAATTCCACAGTTCCACCCTCTACAGCAGTGAATTCCACAGTTACACCCTCTACAGCAGTGAATTCCACAGTTCCACCCTCTACAGCAGTGAATTCCACAGCTCAACCATCTACAACATTGAATCCCACAGCTCATCCACGTTCGACAGTAGTGAATTTCATGGCCGAACCCTCCACAGGCATAAATTCTACAGCTCAATCCTCCACACATGTGAATTCAACAACTCAACCCCCCACAACAGTGAATTCCATAACCCAACTCTCCATGGCAGTGAATTCCACAAGTCAACCATCTATTGCAGTGAATTCTACAATTCAGCCCTCCATGGCAAGTATGTGTAATTCTGGCTTTATATGGTGAAAGTTTCATGCAAAAATGTAAAGTTAGCAGGTGTGCATATGGAAGTTTCTGTGAGATAAATGCACATGAAATACATATATAATCACCTGCATCATTTCTGGCACCCTTGGTAAGAGTCTATCAGAGTGTACAGGAACTTTTAAATGCTCATCCATGATTTCCTGTTTCACTGGGGTATAAATATGAGGTAACACAGAGGCCAGGTCCCCTTTGTCATTAATGACCATGTGGAAGATCTTGAACTTCATAAATTAGACAATAGCTATTAAAAACAGCTGCACACCAGACATTTTTGATGACCTTTTTTCTTACCTATCTTTACTAATGGTGTTTATGTTAAATATGGAGCTGAAAATAACTACAAATCTTTTACTATATATAGTGTATAGTGGTTTCTAATTGGGTTTCCACAGATGTACGGATTGGCCTGAGAGCAAAGGTCATTACACATGGGGTCCTATCAGAGTCTGATATTGAGAAGCTGGTCCTGATGAAGGTGAGTGGCTTCTCAGTTTCTACTCCATATTAATGCAGCTAAACCGAGTGGACCATTCTGAACCATTTTACACCAGTTTTGAATCATTAGTTAAAAAATGACCTAAAAACTGGAGAGACTTCTGTAAGAGACTAAAAGAAAATGGACTGATATTAATACTATTCTATCAAAGATTCATATTAATACTCTCCCTCTCTCTCTCTCACTCTCTCTCTCTCACTCTCTCTCTCTCTCTCTCACTCTTTCTCCCAAGCTTGAAGAGGAGTTGCATCGTCTTGGCGTTCAGCATAACTATACATTGCGTGTGAAGAGCACTTATAAAATTACTCCCTGATAGACATTCACGTCATATTAAGTTTTTCACTTTTTCACTTCTACTCAAATGCAAAACATAACAACTGGGGTGGTCTCAGTCTTTCCTGTAATGAATGGGCCACATAAATCAATGGCCTCTACATAACTATGTGTCTAAATAATTTCACTCGCTAAATCTTAAGTAGCTAGATTTGCCTTTGCTAAAGGAAAAACGGTGCTTGCAGGGCTAGAAAATATGAGAAAAAAATCTAAGCAACAGGTCACAGAATTCAAATGTATAAAACAGCAAGGACAGATGGAAATAAATAAATAAATAAAGAAAGAAAGAAAAAAAGAAAGACAATAAAAGAAGAAAAGAAAGAATGAAGAAAGGAAGAAGAAATAAAGAAAAGAAGAAAAAGAAGAAATGAAGGAAGGAAGGAAGGAAAGAAGGAAAAGAGGGCAAGAAGAGAAAGGAGGAATTAAGAAAGAAATGAAGAGAAACAAAACTGGATTCATTTGAATTTATTAATTTAGTACTTTTATTGAAATAAATAATTTACAGTGAAACACTTATTGCCTCCATTGTTACTCAATCCACCAAATTTAGTCGATAAATGGAATTAATTAAACTAGATACTCACAGGCTTGATTACTACCCGTACTATTTAATCAAAACATCACTTAAATGGAACCTTTCCAACAATGTGAAATAGGCTAAAGGTTCCCAGTTGTTACATTTCAATTCAGTTATTGAAATATGAAATATAGTGGTATCCATGGGAGGGTTGCAAGGCAGAAACCACAGGAACATGAAATATGCTGCATTATCTTTTTTTTTTTACCACATACATTTGGCATAAAGCTAACATAGCATTTCACAAAAATAAGAGCATCATACCAGCAGTGAAACATGGCGGTGGTAGTGTGATGGTGTGGGGCATGCTTTTCTGCTTTAGGGCCTGGGCTACTAAAAAAAACAGTCTACCAGAAAGTCATGCTGGAGAATGTCCGCTCATCAGTCCATCATCTGAAGCTCAAGCTCATTTGTGTTATGAATCAAGACAACAATCGAAAGCACAAGAGCACGTCCACCTCTGACTGGCTCAAAAGAAACAAAATTACAGTTTTGGAGTGGCCCAGTCAAGGTCCTGACTTGAACCATATTGAGATGCTGTGGCAGGACCTTAAATGGACAGCTCATGCTTGAAAGCCCTCCAGTATGGCTGAATTAAAGCAATTGTGCAAAGAAGATTGGGCCAAAACTCCTCGACAGTGATGTGAAAGACTGATCTACAGTTATATAAAGTTATTGGTTAAGGTGGCACAACCAGTTATTAAGTTTAGGAATGCTTTTTAATAAGGGTGGTATAAGTGCTGCATTTTTTCCTTCAGTAAAGGAAATTATCATTTAAAAACTGTGCTGTGTTTCCTCATGTTCTCTTTGGCTCATGTTAAATTTTGTATGAGGATCTGAATTACCAATTATAGTGATAAATATACAAAAATAGAGGAAATCAGGGTGAATACTTTTCCACAGCACTATATTGTACCGATCAGGCATAACATTATGACCACCTCCTTGTTTCTATGCTCATTGTCCATTTTATCAGCTCCACTTACTATATAGGTGCACTTTGTAGTTCTACAGTTACAGACTGTAGTCCATCTGTTTCTCTGCATACTTTGTTAGCCCCCTTTTACCCTGTTCTTCAGTGGTCAGGACCCCCATGGACCCTCAAGAGCAGGTACTATTTGGGTGGTGGATCATTCTCAGCACTGCAGTAACACTGACATGGTGGTGGTGTGTTAGTGTGTGTTGTGCTGGTACGGGTGGATCAGACACAGCAGTGCTGCTGGAGTTTTTAAACACTGTGTCCACTCACTGTCCACTCTATTAGACACTCCTTCCCTTCTGTCCACCTTGTAGATGTAAAGTCAGAGATGATAGCTCATCTGCTCTGCAGTTTGTGTCACAGGACGCTACCCACAGGACGATTGTAATATTGTGTTTATGTACCAATGTGCCAATTATTGTTCTAGTTTAGAACAGACAAGTTGTTTATATAATGTCTTACCATTAATGAATGTAATGAAAATCATAGAAAAAACTAATTGTGAAAACTATTTCACCTCTTCATTTGAAACTTGCTACTGTGAACACATGCATTCTTGAGCTCCTACTGATTTGGGTTCATGATTTCTTGGGTAAGAAAGTGTGAGCTTCCCCTTGTGCAACATGTGCTTCAGGAAAGCCATGTGTAATATAGTATATATGTCTGTGTAATTTAGCTATATATGTTTGTAGGAAATTGCATTTGAAAAATTTTACAACTCACCTAAACATAGGGACACTTAAGCTGTACACAAAATGCTGAGAATTTTCCTTAGATAGTAGGTTCCTCATTGTTGTTCATTATAAGCTTGTTTATTATTTAGCGGTTCGACGCGACTGCTCAAGCATATTGTTGATGCCAAGGAGGGCTTGGTGTGTTTGACTGAGCTTCTTAATGAGCTTTCTGATGCTATCTAAAACACCCTCCTGTGAGTACAGAGCCATCCGTGCGTCATTTAGGACCCTTCTAATCTCCTGACCAAAGCAGGATTTCTCAGTAAAGCTGGTGAACTTGCGAAGGAATATATTTTTCAACCTAATCTGCTGCATCTGTTTTATACTATTGATTACCACAGACAATAATTATGACTAATTGATTATAGAAGTGTTGAGAAATCTTAGTGTAGTCATGCTTGGATATAAAAGGAGCATCTAGGAAAGGCCTAGTCCTTTATGAGCAAGGATAGTCAAGGTTTGCCCCTTTGCCAAAAATGTATCAGCAGAAAATTCAACAGGTTTAGGATGTTCCTCAATAAAGGACTGCAAGGATTTCACTGTTTACAGTGCATAATATCATATCATTTAGGGAATCTGGATAAATCTCTGTGCATAAAAGGCAAGGCCGAGAAACACAACTGAGTGCCCATCACCTTCCACACCTCAGATGGCACTGCATTAAAAACTGGCATGCTTTTGTGATAGATATCACCTTATGGAATCAGAAATACTTTGCCAAGTTGTTGTCAGTAAACACTGCCTGTCACTATCCACAAATGCAAGTTAAGATTGCACTATGCACAGTGGAAGCCATACATTAACAACAACCAGAAACGCCGCCGACTTCTCTGGGCTCGAGCTGATCTGAAATTGTATTGTGGTGAGACAGTTTATGGAAATAATGGAAGTTGTCTTCTGTAGGCCAAAGAAGAAAAGGACCATTGAGATTGTTACGAGTGTAAAGTTCAAAAGCCAATGTCTGCTGCCTTCTATATGCCATCTTTTTCAGGGACATCCATGCTCATTTCAACATGACGGATTCTATACGTGTGACAACAGCATGGCTGCATAATCGGACAGTGCCTGCCTGCAGTCTGTCTGTTTCCTACTGTAAAAGCTTGTTTTATTAAGGCCAAAAAAAAGACAGCAAAGGCCCTGTAGGGTTGCACAACTTTTATAACAAAAGAATGGCAAAAAATAATGCTTTATGTATTTAGTCCCTAAATGTTAATTAGGTGCTGTTTAAAGGAAAGGTAATGTAATACAGTGGCCCAAAATTTTTGGAATGTGTTCCAGGTGTCAAATTTGGAATATATTTACAAGAACACAATGAAGTTTGAAGGTAAAATATCAAACATTGGTTTCAGTTTCAGGTCCAACAGAATTTACTAATCACTGCTTCATGGTTTTATTAGCATTTCACATACTGTCCCAACTTTTTTGGAACAGGATTTGTAATAAAGTGGACAATTATTTACAATTATTAATAGGCCAGTCATGAGAAAACATGCCACTCTCTTTTAGTACTGAATTCTACAGCCCAAGGAATGGAATGAAGCTCTTCTTTTATGCTAAAAATAATAAAAGAGAACAAACTTCAACATGAAACAGCTCAGAGATTACAGAGATATCAGCTAAAAGAGATACGAAAGATAAAAAAACAGCAGCATTTCTGTTCAAAAGCCTTCATATTTTGTGGAAAGACAGTTTGTCTGCACCATGAGACATTTCTTCAATGGCATTTTCCCCCCACAACCGCTTGAACACAACACTTTGAACTTGCCTTCTCTAACCTTTTTATCTTTCAAACCTAAATCCCAAAAGCATTGACCAGCTTGCTGAAAGTGCAGTGCTCTCGAAACCTTTCCAAAATGTAATCGCTTCCCAAAATGTATTGTGGTGAAATGCACGCAGCTACAGAGCTGGCTGTAATGTTAGGTGTGGCCAGTATGAGTTGCAAACAAAGCTGAAAATGAATAGACTCCAATGATATCCACAGATGAGCCCACATTTATGACCACTCACAAACTAAGAGGAAAACTTTGATCATCTACAGCACATGTCAAGGTCAAGGATATATTGGATGGTAAGTGAACAGTCAGTTCTTGTTGTCAATTTGTTGGCTCTGAAGAATTGGGCAGGCATGAAGACCTGAGCAGCTTTGAAAGGGCCAAAACGATACGGCCAGATGACTGGGTCAGAGCATCTCCAATATGACAAGTGGGTTGCATTTTAAACCGTAGCATACTGTATGCACTGATACACTTAAGTGGTACTTATTGAGTTATTTTGCAACTCAATCAATATCACTAAATACACTAAATGAAACATGTATTTACTTTTATAAACCACATTTAAGTAGTCACTTTGATATGTACTTGCAGAAATAATTAAATAGGACTATATATATATATATATATATATATATATATATATATATATATATCTTCTAAACTTATAAGTGCTTTTAAAATGCTCTAAACTGGAACATCTAATGTTGCAGTGAAGTTCTACACATGCAACATATTTTAAGTGTGTACTCTTACGGGTACCAATATAATTGGAAGTTGCAACTAAAATGTACTAAAATCATTCCTTTAAAGTAATTGATGACAAATATACTTTTCTTTAGATAAGCATTGTTTAAGTATGCATTCAAAATATACTACTATACTACTTTCAAATAAATGAAATAAAAAAGTGGCTAATATGTTCTATATAATATGTTCTGCATTTTAGTAAGATCTAAGGTAATGGTCAAAGTAAGCTAATAGCTTAGGTAGCCAATTAGCTTAGCCAAATATTTAGCAGAGGGCCTCCTTTCTTATGCAAAGAAGTGATTAGTTATTGTCAAAAAGCTAAAAGTAAGTACTGTTTTTCAGGGGTTGGTCTAGAACCCTTAGTTCCAGTGAAGGGAAATCTTAATGCTTCAGCACCAAGACATTTTGGACATTGTGTGCTTCCAACTTTGTGAGAACAGTTTGGGGAAGAACCTTTTCTGCTGACTGAGCCCCAGTGCACAAAGCAGCGCCATAAAGGCCTGACTGGGTGAGTTTGGTGTGAAAGAACTTGACTGGCCCTCACAGAGCCCTGACCTCAACCCCATCACACACCTTTAGGATAAACTAGAAAAGAGATTGTGAGCCAGACCTTCTCGTCCATCATCAGTGCCTGACCACACAAATGCTCTTCTGGATGAATGGCCAAAAATTCCCACAGACTCTCTCCAAAATCTTGTAGAAGCTTCCCAGAATAATGGAAGCTGATAGAGCTGCAAAGGGGGACCAACTCAATATTAATGCCTATAGATTTAGAATGGGATTCATAAAAGCTCATGTGGGTGTGATGTGTAGGTGTCCCGTGACTTTTGTCCGTATAGTGTATTTGCTTTAGTTTTGGTCATTTCTTAATACTTTTACTTCCTCTTTACGTTTAAGAGAATTATCACCACAGAAGCAGGACTCTACTTCAATGGGGCACTCAAAATGAAAATGAAAAATGTAACCATTGCTACATTTGTTGTGAACATGCCTACTCACCTCCTACAGTGGTGCCCCAGTGGCGGAAGCAATGCTGCTACTGTGGAATACTACATAAAACAACAAATAACATTAATTGCTAGTTTTAGGCCAGCATGCCCTTTTTCAACCTTTTATGACCAGAGCTACTTGCCAAGCCTGTTAGAAATTCCAGAAAATTGAATGGTCTTTAACAACATGAACCCTTGAATGCTGGTGTCTCAATAGTGTTTACTCAGCTTAAGTCACTGCAAAGCACAATATTTGAGTTTAATAACATTTTTTGTTCATAACAGAGTGAAGCAGCCTTCCGGGTGAGAACACATATTGATGGGTTGCTATGTTTACGTGTTTGTTTGAAGGAGCTTTTCTAAGCCATCCATTGTAAGGCGAATTGATTGGAGCGAATCAAGGTCGGCCCAGTTGTTCATGTTTGTTCAGATTTGGGGTTTTATATCCAGTTTTGAGTGGTTACCAGTACTTCCAACCACTCAGAGGCAGCACAGACTATGGCAAAGTACCATAACGAGGGAATTCTACCAATTTTTCTAAATTTGTGCATAATGATCTGGTCATTCAAAGAGGTTTGATGAGAGGTCAGAATTGATCGTAGAGATAGTGAGGGGAACCAGACAGCTAAAGAGTTTAATGCCTCTAAAAGTTCCCTCACAGAACGTTGATAGATGAAGTGATTATAAATACACTGCCTGATGTCTGAGACATTATTTTGTGATGGTTTTGTGAGATGACTATGGCTTCCACTATTTTACAATCATCAACAATACATATAAAACTC